AAAAAAAAAAAAAAAAAAAAAAAAAAAAAAAAAAAGAAAAAAAGAAAGAAAGAAAGAAAGAAAGAAAGAAAGAAAGGAAAGAAAGAAAGAAAGAAAGAAAGAAAAAGAAAGAAAGAAAGAAAGAAAGAAAGAAAGAAAGAAAGAAAAAGAAAGGTAAAAATATGGATTCAGATCAGTGGCTCTGATATGGCCAGAGTCTGGAGAGTATGGAAGTGCCTTTGATACACCCGCTTACTGGGCATCAGCTGGAAATGTCATGACTACAGAGAGACTGCTTGTTTCAGAATGATGACAATATGGGCTAGTTGTAGAACTGGGTTGAAATCAGCACGCAGATCTACTCAGAAAGAAATACTCTGAGTAGAAAAAACAGCAGAGCCTTTCAGCACGGGCCCTGATAGCTACTTTTCTAGAAGCAATTTCATTTCATTTTTACAGTAGATTTATCACACGCCATTGTTTGCCTTTCACTTTGTTGCAAATAATAATATTTCCATTATTTTGTCTGTTGACAAAAAAGTAAAAATGATTGGGTTAGGTTTGGCTGCCACTCCATAAATATCTCAAATCCCACGTCTAAAACTTAATTCATTAGTGCCCCATGTGTGCCCCCATTCGTGCACATACACATATACGTAACCTCATCCCCCCGTGTGTTTTTTCTCTATGAATCAGCACCAGGTACCAAGATCCCAAACTCAAAACTTGGACGTCACCCTGACTCCATCTCAGCTCCATATTTGTATTTGCCAATACTATCACCAAGTTTTATTGAGTTCTGTCTCTCATATCTCTTGAATCTATTATTTCTTCTATTCCTCCTCTGCTACTTCCTAGTTCAGGCACCATCATCTCACTACTCATTACTGTAGGAGCCTCCAAAATTAAGGTTTCTCTATTCGGTCTTTTCTTCACACTTCTGAAACCCACAGCTGTCCAAGACAAATCTTCCAATAGCTTCCTGTCAGCCCCAGCATAGAGTTAAAATTTTCTAACCTGACTTAGGTTCATGACGTGTCCCTGCTTCCCTAGTCAGCCTGGCATCATTCCTGTGTGTGGACAACTAAAAGCTCCACCAAGACCATCTTTTTCTGCTCCTTTACCTGGCCCTGCTGGAGCTGGTCCTCATTCCTCCTCTCAAACTGCTTAGCCTAACTCAACATTCCTTGTCCTTCAAATCTCTCAGTAAGTGTCCCTAAAGCATTCAGAACTTCCGCTAGTTAGCAAAAGTTTGTCTGCCACTGGGCTGAAAATTTCCCTGAAGATTTTTCTTGCCTCCCTCGCTGTGGTATCCTGTGGGGCCTGCAAAGTGCCAGCTCAGTGAATATGCTGAATAAATGAACAAGTATTTTAGTGATGTGTCTGCCATTACAACTTAAAATGTGCTATTTCCGTCTGGTCTTAACACACACACACACACACCCTTTGTTGAACCCTTTTTTCTTCCTTTGTTTTTTTCACATAGCAATAATTAATAACTGGGCCTGCATCTCCTACAAATATCAGTGTAATTGTCTCTGGTTGTTCAGGAAAGAAACCTAAGGCACGTATGGATTGTACAAGAATGAGAATCGAACCCAGTTCGTGTGTGTTGTACTGAGGTTTGAGTATCTTCAGAGGCTTATTATGGTGTCTGCCTCTGGACCTCACACTGGGTATCCGGTGGCAACTGGATGGATGCCTAGAAAGGGCGGAGCCATAAGAACGGGTTTCTTCGTTAAAACGAGACAAGTCACAGTGCTATATTAATCCAGCCTCGCTGTTAGACTCATAACAGCCTAAATCCGCGTGCCATTCTGCCTCCTCGCACAGGCAGCCCAAGACTTAAGAGGAAGTGTGCGGAGGGAGGAAGTGGGCATAACAGGGCTCAGTGTCTTGAAGTGAATAGCCAGCCATAATGTCGCTGTACTTAAGTCGCCTTCAGTTCCTTGTGTTTGTTTAAATTTGTGGCCCTCCGGTTATTCACTAGCGGTTGCTGATGCCCCGAAAAATCAGATATAGCGCTTAACTATCAATGAAAGATCTGGAAGGTTCCCTGCCGCAGTCCCCATGCCCAGGTTTGTGGCTGGCCTTTGGGCCACACCAGGCAGGGCTTGGAGCGTCTGCGCTCATAGTGGGACCCGTGAGGGTCAGGTTGGGGTCACGCCGCCCGCATTCAGGCCCCAACCACGGTTAGAAGGCAAAGCCCGTGCTTCTTCCAGCTCCACTCTTGGCAAAGCCCGGAAGGGTCCGAGCCACACAGCTATCCGCGGGGTCTGTGAAGCCCCAGGCCGAGGCAAGCATCCTGAGTAGCGGAGGTCCCCCAGCGCCCCCTGCAGCCGCGCGCGGTCCGGGGGGAAACGGCCCCAGACTTGCGCCTCTGCACCACGCCCTGGACCCCACCCAGCAGCTACCGCCCGGGACTGCGAGAACACCCGCTCCTCACTGCTGCAGCCACGGGGCGTGGGGTCCCTAGGGCGCGTCTACATCCCGAGCCGCCCCCATTGCTCCGCCCGCAGCGTCCGACTTCCCCTCCCTCCTTCTGTCAGTCCCTCCCTCCCTTCCCCCCTTCCTTCCCGCTTCCCTCCTGCCCACTGGTGCCGAACACGCCGAGCGTCCTCTCTTGGGACGCTTTTCCCCTTGGCTGGTCGTCCCTTGTCTCATCCCGCACAACTTCGGGACAGTGCCGTTTGGTGTTGAATGTTCCCCTCCGAGAACACATGGCTGGGGAAGCGAGGAGCCGGCCGGGCCCCCGAAGGGCCGCCGTCCGGGAGGCGGTGATGCTGCTGCTGTGCCTGGGGGTCCCGAGCGGGCGCCCTTACAACGTGGACACCGAGAGCGCGCTGCTCTACCAGGGCTCCCCCAACACCCTGTTTGGCTACTCGGTAGTGCTGCACAGCCACGGGGAGAACCGATGGTGAGTGGAGTCAGACTGGGGCGCTCTCGGCATCCCAGAGCGGGGAGGGAAGGGTGCCTCAGGGATTCCCTACCCAGTTCAAACTTTCCTCTCTCAGAAGGAGGCAGAAGGGAAACGCTGCGACGACCAGCTCGCTGGAGATCTATCTGTTCAGGGAAACTAACTTATCTTGAGATGCCAGCTCCCGGGGTGCGTTCTGACGCAGGGCCCTGGAGCTGGGAGTTAGGAGTGGCGGGTTGGGTGTGCGGGGTGGCGGGCGGAGGAGGGGAGATGGGCCGGCTGCCAGCTGTACGTTACGTCTGTTGAGACCAGGGGTTCAGTGGGCAGCCTAGCTCAAGTGTGCGCGTACATTTCTCGCTTTAGGCTCATAGTGGGGGCGCCCACGGCCAACTGGCTCGCCAATTCTTCTGTGGTCAATCCCGGGGCGATTTACCGATGCATAATCGGAAAGAATCCAAATCGGACATGCGAACAGCTCCAGCTGGGTGAGTTGGATCTGGGATCAGGAGCGAGTGAACCCCCCTCCCGGTGCGCCATATGTGGACTCCACGGTAAAACAAGTCCTGGAAAAACTCGTGTTGGCTGTAACTTGGTTAAAGCGAATGATTTTCACTCTTAACTCCACAACATCTTCATTTCTTAACATAAAATGGTCCCCCTTCTCTGTTAATATTTTACTCCCCTTTGCTTATGACAATTTCAGTACTCTGACAAAACTGTGTAGAAGAAAATTTCCTATAATGCCCTCTCTTCATCTTTCTGCCAACCCTCAGTGTGTAAAATATCTTTTAAAGTTTCAACACATTAGGGGCATGATACAGCTAAGCCGACTTTAGAATTTTATTTCCATCTTTGACTTACCAGCTTTATTAAAGAGAACAGGCTAAGGGGCAGGTCAGAAATAGCAGTTGGAATTGATCCCTTATCCTGTCATTTAGCCTAAGGGCTTTCTTAAAAAGAAAATGATACAGTTTTATTTAGAATTTGAAGTGTAAAAGAAGAGCACAGGAAAATTTGGAGTCTCCATTGTTACTATAATTAAAATGAGGCTTAACATATAATTATTAATTTATCTTATCAAAAACTCTCATGTTAAATGGAAACTTCTATTTGAAGTCATTCCTTAATGTGTCCTCTTAGGTTTGTGACAACTTGAAAAATGTGTTCTGATGAGAGAAAGGAGAAAGTTCATATTTCAAAGCCAAAGCAAATTTGCTTTGCACAGACACGTGGGGGAAGAAAGGGGAACCAATATTAATTCAAATCTATCTTGTTGCAAACACTGTTAAGCATTGCTCTATATGTTGCTTTTTTTTTTTCTCATAGCACCACTGAGTCATGGCTGGCATTGTTGCTACTCAACATTGAGGGCTGCAAGCACTTTTTCTAAAGGTTACTCAGCTAGTGAGTGGGAGATGGGACCCCACACGTCAAAAAGTCAGGTCTGCTTGGGTCCAAAGTCCGAGCCCTTCTCTTTTTTTGTATGCATTTTCAATGCAAACAAAATTAAATGTAGAGTCGAATATGTTGTCTGATGAACTGATGAGTCATCTGTAAATGTTGAATAAAATGTTATAATTGATACTTTTTTTTTGTATTTAATTTTACTATCAATAGTTTTAAGCTAAGCTAGTTACTGCATCTTTAACCCCTTTTTCTTTTTATAGTAGTCTTTGGTTTTTCTCAAACTAGGAAGCTGGTTCCCTCATCTAAAGGAATTCAAATAGAGTGTACACATATTGGGATTTTTATTTTTAACTCAGAGAGTATCCATAAAAGTCTAGAAGTTGTCTGTAGCATGTAGAATAAGCCCCAGACTCTGTAAGCACCTTACATCCCAAAAGGCAGACTAGGAAAGCATAAAACATTCACAAACCTATCCATTTGGAATAATTCTGCAAGACATAATTTTCATTGCATGAGAGAGTTGTGGGATAAAGAACTGGGGAATGGAGCAGGCAACCTTGATCCGCGAGAGGATCTTGATAAGGTCTCAGGAGGGAAAAATTTCATTTCTGTTGTCCTGTCATAGTTTCCTGATCTTTGACATTATAACAACTGATATTTAGCACATACTTCCTGTCTGTAAGGGCACTGAATCTATTTCCAGATGTCAATATTTTAACTGGAAAGATCATGTCATAGTATTACATAAAATTTAAGATAATAATGCCTCTCAAAATTGAAGGAAAACCTAAATTCTTTGGGCATGTGTAGCACACAGAAATATCCTTGGAGAAATAAGCACATAGTAGATAAGCAATAAACATGAATTAAGTGAAAATTTATTGGATGGATGAATGGATGGATGGGTGGATGGATGAATACATAAAAGCAAAGTGAAAGTTTGATCGCCATCAACCTGATTGGTGAATAAGAGAAGTAATTAGAAATGACAAGCCAAAGTGATACTTTAACTTTTAAAATTTTGGTCAATAAAAAAAGTATTGACTGAGATGAAAGGCAAAAACGAAGACAAGATTTTTATTCGATCACTGGTTAAAATACTAATAGCTGTAAAATACTAATGGCTTTGAATATTTGCAAAACAGCTGACTGAAGTTACTTTTGATATAACATTTTAAATAATATATCTTCTCTTCCTTTTATAAAGAAATGCAGAGGTAACTTGAAGCTATAAAATAAGGGATTGAGGATAAAGTCTAGAAAAGAAACACTAAGAACAATAAATTGATAACCAAAGACTTTTAAGGATTCTCAGGTTTGTGGACTATGCAGTATTCTTTATGAGGATGTTTCAAGGAAAAAAATATTACTTATATAAGTGTATATATATATATATATATACTTACATACACTCAAACACATACACATACACAGTCTTCTAATTCTATAGATTGTGAAGATAGCTTCAGTTGTCCTGTCTCACTATAATGTATGGAAAACACTTAGCTCAGTACCTGACATATAAAGGACATTAAAAAATATTAGTTTATTTCTTATCGCTATTTCCTACTTAAATCTCTATCTGCATGTTATCTGTTTTAGGCAAATTGAGGTTAATAAGTAGGGACAATTAATAAACTAAACAAAAAGTTAAATGTATAAATTAAAAGCTAACTGTTGAAATGGCACACAGTGAAAAATAATTTCTTGTTGACCCAACCAAAAAATCTGAAAACTAAAGATTGAGCTATGACTGCCATGTCAATGAAGTGTTTTCTTTCATTTGGAATGGCTTAACTTGCTATCAAGAAGATGGAATTGATAGGTCTCTAAAAATGGTACCCATCTCCTATGCAATTCAAAATACTATCTACATGGACTAGTCTTTAGGTCTCAGAATTTCAGATCAAAGTTTGATTCAGACAGACAACTCCCCCCAAAAGAGGAGATCACTATCCCACTCCCTATTTGATCCCCACCTTTGTGGATAATGTTGTCGCATACCATGGTATATTCCTTATAGTCATAGTCAGAAGTGAACAACAAATGCCTATTTATCTAGAATGTTCAGGGTGTGAGATGTTGAGAGTAAGATACCTCTTTCATTGAACTGAATTGACTATAGAAGTGCTCTTCTTTTTGCATGCAAATAGACTTCTTCTACCCCTGCCTGCCTGAGAAGTGTCTCTCCTCTCAGTCCTTTGGTACCTTCCTCTGTGAACCAAAGGAAAATAGTCTCCCATCAGGAGAGTTTGAGCCCAGACTTGTTCATGAAAACTCTGTGTCTGAGGAGGCCACAGTGATCGCCACATGTTCGCTTGCTTTTCCACTCAGACACTGCATCCTTGCTGAAGCTTTTTAAAAGGAAATTTTGACCACAGATGGTTGCTAAATTAAGGCAACTTAAATAATGACTCCACAGTACTATAGTTAATCATAGTCCATTCATAGATTACCAATATTCAAAAGAATTAGAACATAAAATATATAAATGATTATAAAATTATACTTTAAAAATTGTCTCTAATTGGTTATTCAAAAGACATTCCAGGTCTTTCATTACTTTGGAGTTGCCACTAATAGCATTACACACACACACACACACACACACACACACATGCGCACACATATTTTTCTGGATAATAGACTCTAAAGTTACATAAGTTATACAGCACCCAGTAGACCCAGTAGCCACATATGGCTATCGAGCACATGAAATGTGGCTAGTTAACAGTGATAGATGCTGTAATATAAATTACATACTGGATTTCAAAGGCAGTACAAGAAAAGGAAAATACAATATCTCATTAATTTTTTAGATATTGATTACATGTTGAAATATGTATTTAAAAATTAATATCAATTATATATTTAAATGATAATATTTTAGGTTTATTAAGTTAAATAAAATATATTGTTAAAATTAATTTCTCTTACTTTTTTAATGTGATTACTATCAAATAAAACCTTTTATATGTGGCTTGAATTATATTTCAGTTGGACAGCACTGCTCTAGAGAAACGTAACTTCCCTGCATAAAATAACACTAACTTTTTAGCGGATGTTTTACCAGCATCTATGCATGGGGCTTTCACTTTTTTTTTCCAGACCAAACATTGTACAGTTAATAGATCTTTAAGCTCTCTGCTCGTGCCTCTCCTTACTGAAAAGAACAATGGTCCATCATAAGTTTGTCATCATTATTCCACTTCAGATATCTTTCTGGAAATTATATTACCTTGGCCAGCCTCCTGGTTTATATTACATAACCTATTTGGAAAAGGTTAAGTCAATTAGCATTGCATCATTAAACTAACGATTATCTCATTCTCATTTCTGCCTGATTTGCAGGAATTATTAGCTTAACATTAAAAGGCAAATCTCTCACGGTTGAAACTTCAAATATGTTCTTGATAACTTTCCTTTTCTTTTTCATTTTCAATACTCTTTAAATTGTGGTTTGTGAAGCTGAGTTGATACAGACTGGTCATTTTGAAAAATCATCCCTGAATATAGGTTGTTATGGTAATTATGCAGAAAATCAAGACAGAGAGCTTCATTAATAAACTGTCATGTTAAGAGAGTTAAGTTCCCTGATTTCCAGCAGTTTTCCAAATTCGATCTCTAAAAGAATGATTTCCACATAATTTGAGAGATGAGATTTTCTAAATGCGTTTTATTTTTTACTTTGAGTTTACTTGATCACCGAGTAATATTACTAATGACTAAAAAAAATCTCCTCTTGGCAACAGGTTTGGGGGTCAGATATGGTAATCCATTGTACATGGGGGTCATTTATGCATTCAGTCATTTATTTAGAGATGCCAAAAGGCCAGAACCTGGTAATACAAAAGAAACACTGTTCTTGGCCCCAAGGAGTTTACAGTCCATAGGTTAGGTTATTATAGGAAAGCATGGTGAGAAAATTTAATCTAGTTAGGAGAATAAGGTGATGTCTTCTGAAGGAATTGATGTTCAAGTGGGGAACTAAATGAAAATCAGGAGTTAGAGGAAGAGGTTATGGGAAATGTTTCCATACAGAGGAAACAGTGTGCGTGAAGACCCTGAAGTCTTTGAC